ATACTACAAGCCTCCCACCAGTCAGGTGGGAGGTAGAGGAGAGAATATGTAGATAGATTCTGGAACGGGTTGTTGTGGTGGGTGAATTTAACTTGCTGTATATTGACTGGGACTCACTTCGTGCTAGGGGCTTGGACGGGGCAGAATTCGTAAGGATGATTCAGGAGAGTTTCTTGACACAGTATGTGAACAGCCCAACCAAGGAAAGGGTTATACTGGATCTGGTTTTGGGAAATGAGCCTGGCCAGGTGAGTGAAGTTTCAATGGGAGAGCATTTTAGGAGTAGTGACCATAATACTGTGAATTTTAAGATACTCATGGATAGGATAACAGCAGTCCTCGGGCGAAGGTGTTAAACTGGGGGAAGGTGAACTACAACAATATTGGGCAGGACTGGAGAATGTTGATTGAAGGTGGCTGTTTGAGGGTAAATCCACATCAGACATGTGGGAGTATTTTAAACAGCAGTTGATAAGAGTTCAGGAGCAACATGTCCCTGCGAGAATGAAGGATGGGTATGGCAAGTTACATGAACCTCGGACAAAAAGGAAAGAGAGGCATTCTTAAGGTGTAGGAAATGGGAACTGATGAAGCCCTTGAAGTATGTAAGGAAATTAGGGAAGAACTTAAACAAGGATTTAGAAGGGCTAAAAGGGGTCATGAAAAGTCGTTAGCAAACAGGATTACAGAGAATCGCAAAACTTTTTATACATCTATAAAAAGCAAGAGGGTAGCCAGAGAAAGGGTTGGCTCACTCAAGGACAAAGGAGGAATCTATGTGTAGAGCCAGAAGAGGTAGGTGCGGTCTGAAACAAATACTTTGTGTCAGTATTCACCAAAGAGAAGGAATTGGTGGAGGATGATCTCGGGGAAGGGAATATAAAATTTCTAAGCCAAGTGCTATTTAAAAGGAAGAGGTATTGAGTGTCTTATAGAGTATTAAGGTAGATAAGTCCCTGGGTCCTGATGAGATCTATCCCAGAATATTGAGGGAGGCAAGACAACAAATTGCTGGAAAATTGACAGACATCTTTGTATCCTCTTTGACCGCAGGTGAGGCCCCAGGGGTCTGGAAGATAACCAGTGTTGTCCCATTGTTTAAAAGAAGGTAGCAGGGATAATCCTGGAAATTACAGGCCTGTGAGCCTCACATCAGTGAAAGGGAAATTATTGGAAAAGATTCTTGGGGACAAGATGTATACACGTTTAGAAGCAAATGGACTTTTTAGTGATGGACAGCATATAGTTTTGTGCAGGGCTGGTCACTAACTTGACTGAGTTTTTTTTCAGGAGCTGACGAAGATGATTGATGAAGGATATGTAATTAATGTTGTCTACGCAGACTTCAGTAAAGCCTTTGACAAAGTCCCTCATGGCAGACTGGTACAAAAGGTGGAGTCACATGATATTAGGCGTGAGCTGGCAGGGTAGATACAGAACTGGCTTAATCATAGGAGACAGAGGATAGCGGTAGAAAGATGCTTTTCAGAGTGGAGGATTGAGACTGGTTTTCCACAGTGATCATTGCTGGGACCTCTGTTTGTAGTCTACATAAATGTTCTGGAGGAAAATGTAGCTGGTCTAATTAGTAAGTTTGCATACAATACAAAGATTGGTAATGTTGTGGACAGTGACGAGGACTGTCAGAGGATACAGCAGGATATAGATCAGTTGGAGGCATGGGCAGAAAAATGGCAGATAGAGTTTAATCCAGACAAATGTGAGGTAATGCATTTTGGAAGATCAAGTACAGGTGGAAATTGCACAGTGAATGATCGATCCCTTAGGAGAATTGATAAGCAGAGGGATCTGGGTGTGCAGGTCCACAGATCATTGAAGCTGATAGTGCAGGTAGATAAGGTAGTATAAAAGGCCTGTGGCATGCTTGCCTTCATTAGAATGGGCATTGAGTACAAGGATAGTCAAGTTATGCTGCAGGTTTATAGAACTTTAGTTGGGCCACACTTGGAATATTTCATACAGTTCTGGTGACCACACTGCCAGAAGGATGTGGATTCTTTGGGGAGTGTACAGAAAAGGTTTACCAGGATGTTGCTTGGTATGGGGGATTTTAACTATGAAGAAAGGTTGGATAGACTGTGTTTATTTTCACTGGAACACAGGAGGGTAACGGGCAAACTGAGAGAAGTTTATAAGATTGTGAATGGCATGATGGAGTGGAAAATATGAGGCTTTTTCCTGTGGTGGAGGAGTCAGTTATTAGGGGACACAGGTTCAAGGTGCGGGGGCGGGAGAGGTGAGTTTAAAAGAGATGTGCGAGGCAAGTTTTCCCCACAAAGGGTGGTGAGTACCTGGAGCATGCTGCTAGAAGTGGTGGTGGAAGCAGACGCAATAGCAGCATTCAAGAAACACCTGGACAAATACATGACTAGGAAGGGAATAGAGGGATAAGGACCCTTTAAATGAAGACAGTTTTAATGTGGAAGGGCAAAATGTTTTGGGGCCTTTTCCTGTGCTGTGTTGTTCTTTGTTCTTTGTTCAGTGTTTTAAGAGACAGTGTAGTCGGTGATCCCTGAGGTTGAGTTTGGTCATTGTATAGCTTTACATTCAGTTATAATTACATTATAGCTTTATATCTTGAGAAATTGAAGCAGACAACAGAGTTGGAAAACAACTGAGTGCTTCTGGTTATTAAAAGAACTATTGCTCTGTAGTAAAGAACTTGAATATTGCTGAAAAGAAATACATCTTGCCCTCATCAGAGAAAGTGTGAGAATGCTACATTTCAGACTATGACAGTGGTGTATACTTCAGGAGAATAGGGTACTGATTGGTTGACTGAGGTAATGCCATGGAGGAAACAACAGAAGGATTGACATCTGGCAGTGTTAGAGTCACCAGGGAAAGGATACTGAGAAAACTATTAGAATGAAAGCTAACTAATCCCAGTACCTGATGGCCTGTATCCAAGGGAATTAATAAAAGTAGTTGCAGTGTTGGTGGATGTGCAGGTATAATTTTTACAAAATTCCTTAGATTCTGGAAAGGTCCCATCAAATTGGAAAATAACAGATATATCTCCTGTGTTCAAGAAAAGGAGATAGAATCAGAAAGCTACTGTCAAGATAGCTTAACATTTGTCGTATAGAACCAAATATTAACAAGGTTATGACAGGCTTCTTAGAAAATCATAATAAGGCTGAGTTGTTGTGGTTTTCTCAAAGGCAAAATAATGTTTTGTCTAACTCATTACAGTTCTTTAGGGATCAAAGGGTCAACAACACTGATGAGGATGTACTAGACAAACCTGAGATGCTGTTAAATCTTGGATCAGTTAGAAGGTTTTAATTGATTAATATGTATATGCAAGTCCCCGAATTCCTTTGAAGCCACTGTCCTGAGAGAACTAAACGTTTCATCAGTGCCAAGAAGAGGTGACATTTTAGGTCAGACAATGCGTGTTGGAGTGAGGCCTTGTTTCAAATTATAATTTATAGCTAATTTATAGCTTTAAATTGAGGGGTGATAGATATAGGACAGATGTCAGAGGTAGGTTCTTTACTCAGAGAGTAGTAAGGGCGTGGAATGCCCTGCCTGCAAAAATAGTAGACTCGCCCACTTTAAGGGCATTTAAATGGTCATTGGATAAACATATGGATGATAATGGAATAGTTTACGTTAGATGGGCTTCAGATTGGTTTCACAGGTCGGCGCAACATCGAGGGCCGAAGGGCCTGTACTGCGCTGTAATGTTCTATGTTCTATGTTCTAAATCGGTTAGAGTTTTCATTCAGAATCAGACTGGCTTTATTTCTAAAGTAGGAATTTATAAAATGCCACATTGGCTGACTGTGTATAAATTTTGTGCATTTTGATCAAAATAGAATGTATCTGCAAGTACAAATTCTCCTGATAGATTCACTTGTGTGTGTGTATGGGGGAGAGAGTGTGTGTGTGCAGGGAAAGGTGGGGAGAGAGGGGGACAGTGTGTGTGTGGGGAGAGAGGGGGGACAGTGTGTGTG